AGATTACCTGAGCTACTCAGAGAGTAGTATGATTTTGTGCTTTTGAAAGAAGATCAATGTCTAGATAAGAGGAAGTTGAGTCCTCTCCAAAATGGAGATCACTGTCCTGTTCATCTTGATCTCACTGTGTTCCCTGTATTAGTCAGATTTACATTACTATAATGCAATGTCTGCAGCAGTCTACTGTACAAAGAAAGAGGTTTATTTAGCTGACAAGTTTGGAGACTAGAAATGAGAACAGAATGGTGCCGACTTTATCAAGTTTCTCTACTGAGGGCATCATATCATGGCAGCAGCACATATCTCTCTGTCCCTCTCTCTTCTTATGAAAGCATTAGGATTCAATTATAGTGGATCCATCCTAAAGAGCTAATATAATCTAATCCCTTCCCACAGATCCTCCTGTAAATGCCATAGTCAGGTTTCTCCCACCCTCCTCAAGCAATTATCAGAAAACTTTTGGTATTCAATTCCTGTATGAGTTCAGGAGTGGGGGATCACATTAAAATCCTAGAACTCCCCTTTCTTTACTCCACAATATGAATTTCAAACATGATAAATGAAATAGTTAATATACTTTAATCAGGACTAGGATGATTTCATATCTTCTTAGCATGGAAACACCTAACACACTGCACTTGGCCTGTTAAATTTAATATTGTTATGTGAAAAAGCAAGGACCGTTATAAAGAGTCTCTGGAATTCATGGTCTGTACCACCCAAATTTAGAAACAATCCTGAGAAACAAAAAGCCTGTACAGGCAACACAAATGTCAAAGATCACATTTTAATAATATATATGCTATTAATTTTTTTGAATGTATAAAATTACACTTTGGAGTAATTCTTTCTCAGACAGCAAGATAAACAGGCAGGAAAGAACACAATTTTAATTATGTGAAAGTATTGAACTTTTAGAGTTCTTGTTATTAGAACACCACTAGCTAATATAGATAATAAAATGACGAATTTTAACACTTGAGAAGGGTCAGTTTATTTTTTAAAAAGACACTGTGAGAATGATAGAGATTTCAATCATAGGCAGTAAGACTTTAAGCCAAATTGAAGAGTTGGAAGCCAATCACAACAGTTTATAGTATAAGGAGGTTGTCCTCAATTCATTTAGTATCTCACAATCATTCCTTTCTGTTTGATTATATTTTGGGGGAGAAATATATGCAAAACATACCCTTCTTGAAAACTAAAAAGAACAGCATTTCTAAATATGAGAATAATCCATTAAAAAAGGCATGCACTAATAGAAAATGAGAATAAATGAAAACATAGAGTTTAGCAATAAATCAACAGAATGGAAATAACTGAAAAAAGCAAAAATAAAGCCATTTTATAATCTAACAAGTCTTCATGTACATCTAACAGACATAAATTAGTATGTCAAAAAGCTGTGTGCACTTCCGTGTTCATGCTTATATTATTCCCAACAGTCAAGCTATAGAATCATCCCACGTGCCTTTATTTGCCAGTGGCAAGGGAGGAAGGAGTCACACGAGTTGGCTCATAGTGATGGTGAGAGAGTCACACAAGAAGAACCCGGGGCATGTGAAGTCATTGGAGCTCAGCCCTGTTTTACTTATTTCAACTCGTCTCTCAGAAGATGGAGAAACTGCTATATCGCTTTGAGTTTTATGGCACAGCTGAGATTAAAACTTGCATCATTTCATCCCCATTAATGTCCCTCTTGTCCTCAGCCTCCCTGTGCCCTGGACAGTCTTCATAGCGCGGACCTTTTGCAAATGTGATGAGAGCTCACGGACCCCCTCTGTCCTGACTCTCCCTTACTATCTTTGCTTTCTGGGCTCCCTCATACCTCTCACTCTTATGGATGTAAAACCTCTTTCCTGCAAACAATAGCAAGAGTTATAATCTTCTTGAATCAAAGGACAGTGGTCTATCTAATGTTTATACAAACTTGTACTCCATCTACATATTTACTAAGGGAACTCCTACCAAAGAGCTGCTGGAGAATAGTATTTGCTTGGATCGCTGAATGTGCTACAAGGATCGTGGAATAGCTCGTGGCTCTCTTTTCAGAATTCAGATGAAGTAACTCTCCCACTTGGCTTACTTAGGCTGATGCTTCCCTGTCAGATTTCAGCGCTCCTGTTTTCTACATCCTCGTCACCGCTCAGCATCACTTGCCTGCTAACGCTGATGATCTCACAAACCTTTTCCTCACTTCATGCCAAACGGAGCCGGTGGAGGTTGGAACCTGCCCTGAGTCTGGCCTCAACCAGCTTGTGAGCTCACGACACTGCACCTTGCTTCTGAGACCCTATTGTCTTAGTTTTGCTTTTTCATTTCTTACTCTATTTTTAATAATACTCTGAGAAATCCTACTTTCTATTAATAATGGCTTTACCTTCTTTCAAAGAACATGGGCTTTTCTGCCTCCAGACCCTCTCTTGGTTGACTTTACCTTTTTGTGTGTGATGGTTTCCTCCGCTTTCCTTTTTAGTCATCTTTTCACTCCCTAGCTCCTGCCAGTTGCCCAACCCTTAGCTGTCAACCTGACTGGAAAACCTCTACACAATTCAAAAAAGGTACTGTTGTTGCACCTGCACTAAGACCTTGCCGATGTTTACTGCCTCTGTGAATGGCCCTAAACTCATGCAGTTCCCTAAATGAGAATCAGGCTATCAAATTTTCTTGTGCTTCTTTTTACCCTACATATTCATTGCTTCATCAAATACATTCACTTCCCTCTACCTTCATTAGAATCATTAATAATTTAGGTAAGATCATCCCTGCCCTGGAGAACTAAATTTCCCATTAGCCTAACTCCTGATTTCAGTGTTAATTATTGTTGTTTCTTTACATGGTATCTAGACAGGTATTTTTCAGAGTTATCGTTCCAGAAGATTCCAGACCATGCGATCTGTATTTTGTTTGAGTTTTGTTTTCTGGTTTTGTTGTTGTTTTATTGGTGCTCAGCATCAAGTCCAGGGCCTCGTGCTCACTAGGCACACACTGACACTGAACTACATCCCGACTGTGACACAGTTAAGATTCAAGCAGAACTGGATTTCAATCTCATGTGCAACCACCATACGAGCATCTGTGTATTTCAGTTCCATCTTCTGGAAAATAGGTTTAATAATAGCATCTGTGTCACAGCCTGGCAGTAAACACTAAAATAGACATCTAAAAATGTGTGCTGGAACCAGATACATATTAATTAATAAACACACACACACACACACACATTAATTCACATGAAGGCTTTCTATGAATTTTTATTATGCTCAGATTAAATTCAAAAGTCTTTATTATGGACTGAATGTTTGTGCTCTCCAGAAGTTTATGCATTGAAATCCTAACCTCCAACATAATGTCAGGGGCTGGATGCTCAGTAAATCATTAGGGTATGAGAATGGTGCTCTAAAAATAGACATAAATCTTGCTTCTCTTTACCTCTAACATGTGAGGGTACACCAGAAGATGACCACCAGTAAGCCAGAAAGTCAGCTCTCACAAGTGGTGACTACACTGAAACCCTGATGTTGAAATCCCCAAATTCCGGAGCTGTGGGAAGTACGTTCTTGTTTAACTCACCAGTCTGTTGCTCTGTTGTACGGAGTAATGAATTGAAGGAGCCTTCTTAGTCTCTATTCCAGTGCTGACACAGCTTCTGTTCCTCAGTGGCACCCGTCAACTCCTCAGTCCCTTGGCTTCTCTTCATTCTATTGACATACTTCAATCCAGCCTAACTCCTAGTTGCTGCTGAAAGACACACCCAGGATGAGCACAAAGCTGAAAGACAGAGGATAGTTTCCATCCTCTGGACATCTGCGGGCAGCGCCCTCACTGACTTAGTCATCTGCAGCCAAGTCCACCTCTTAGAGCCTCCATCACCTCAGCACTGCCACACGTAGCACCACAGCTCCAGCTTAGAACCCCCGTGGGACAAAGCACAACCAAATCCTTAAACAGGAAAGCAAAGTGGGTTCAGTTGGTACAGAGGCTGTTCTTTTCTCCAGTGTATGTTTTTGGCTGCTTCAGCAAGAATCAGATGGCAGAAGTTCTGTGTTTCTGTGTCCTGAATTCTAGTCTACTGGTCTACACTTTATACTTTTGGAGAACGATTTGTTATAAACAGAGAAAGCCTGACCACTTCCCACTTTATCCCCTGTCTTGCTGTGGAATCACAAACTCTCACATGTACCACTAGCAACCAGCCATATTGTGATAGATCCAGAAGGCCTTCACTAGAGCCAGCAGATGCTGGGCTCTTGGACTTGTAAACCTATGAGCTACATAAACGTCTTTTCTTTACATATTATCCAGCCACGAGGAGTACTATGTTATAGAAATGGAAAGCACACTGATACACTCAACTATGCACCCATGCAAAGTAAGACTTGCTTTCATTTTACAAGGGTGGAGTCTTATATTCAGAGGCATAAGGAAGACATGAAAAGAGTAGCTGTGAGTGAGCTTCTCTTAGTAAAAGACCGGTCTCTTTCTCTGATAACAGGTGCTCCTTAGACTTTGCAAGGTGCTGTCCTATTGCTGTGCAAGCAACTCGTTGCCATTTCATGCCCATTTGTGATGCACGTCTAATGTGGAATTTCATGCAGGTGACACTCCTAAATTTGGATAGATAATTTTCTGGGAAGAAAAGCATAACATGGGTACTTGTGAAATTATGAAAATAGGCTTTTAATTTAGCTTCCAAATGTCATTAACTTAGTTTATGTCTACTAAGGCCTCTGAGCAGAGTCTGGTAAATAGTAAATCCTCATGATGATGCTCATAGTAATAACAAGTATTATTTTCACGGGAAAGACTGCTAGTAGCATCCACTGCTTTAATGATAAATTTCACTACAGATGAAATTTCACATGTGCGTCTGAGGGGCACGAAAACCAGCCAACCCTTGCCACAGTGAAAGTTGATTTCAGTTTTGCTTCTCAGAAATTCTCAGCTCAGCCTTTAGGGCTCAGAGAACTGCTAGAAGAGTGCAGAGAACCTGAGTGAGGTGTGCAGTGCGGGAGGTCACTATACCTGCACAGAGCCTGAGCCTGCCTTCATGGACGGAGAACACACCCTGCAGGTTGGAGGAAGGTATGTGTGTCCCAAGCTGTTGGGCTGAGGGTCTTATTTTACTGGTCCCAGGATACCTGGGAATGACGCAGGAAAGCCCAAGGCCACTTCCCATGCACAAACTGTCATTCTGGAGAAAGAAAGGCTCAATGCACCTTTCAGTGTGTGTTTGGTGCACGTGGGGAACAGCCTGCTCCATAGGATGGGGAAAAGGAAAGGTCAAAGGTCTCCTAAAGGTCAAAGCTGGGCGCTAGTATAAAATTGTTCTGTGGAAACTTGGGCTACCAAGACTTTAAAAGAAATGTTTTAAACAGCTGACTGATTGTTTCAGGCACTCTAAACGCCCTCTCCAGGGTTTTTTCTCCCAGTCTCTAAATTGTTGTTTTGTGTAATTCAAGAGTTAAGCAAAGATCTGCCGTTTGCAGTGTTTGGTGAAGGTGGTAAAAGTACGGTGAGAGCAGCAGCCTGGTGGAATGTACTCATCCCGGGGTAGACCACCGCCTGGCTCAGTTCTCCACCACCTTTTGGTACAATTCTTGGGTCACACAGCCACGAACAGAATCTTCTCATAAGGGGATCTAGTACTGGGGGTCGCCGAGAGGATTCTTAGCATTGTGGAGATCAGAGGGGAACGTGGAGAAAATCGTGCCATTGCAATCTTTCCTCAGATGAGATGCAAGACTTCCAGAGTAGAGGCAACAACTTGCCCAGAATGCTGACCTTTTCTCAGGATGATATAATCAAACAATCTTAGCTTGCGATACCACTTGGACATTCATATTGAGAGATTTGCTTCTTTCTTTGTGTAATCTAATGTATCACAAAACTGATTTCCTTTAATAAATTTGGCCTCTGATGGGATTCCTCCTTTATTCTCATTCTTTCTGGCTCTCAGAACTATCTAGGAAATAACAGCTACTCACTGGTGTATTCAGTCTCAGATTTATAAGCACTATTTTATGTTATGCACCTCGGGAGGCCTCTTATGCTGGAAAAGGACACCGGGAAATCTGTGGCCATGGTTCCACTCTTCCTTGATGCTCTATAATTCCACACAAATTCATCCTGATACAATCTTCATTTTAACAATAATTTTTCCTGATTTTCAGTTATTTTAGTTGCCTCTAAATTTTATTTTTTAAAAACGTGGGATTCTAATTCTGCCTCTCCAAGTTGTTTTTCAAAAATTTGTAGAAAAGAAGAAACATTAGTTTTTCTTTGCAGTTTTATTTGATCTTATCCATTTCAAACTCATTCACAATATGTGCTCCTTATTAATCATTATATTTTCCTTAGTTTTACAACTTTTTCTTATCAGTGATCTGCCATTTTTTATTTTTACTTGTTTTTGAGACAAGGTGTCACTATGTAGTTCAGGGTGGCCTTGAACTCATTGTGTAGCTCGGACTGGCCTCAAACTCATGGCAATCCTCTTGCCTCAGCCTCCTGAGTGCTGAGATTACAGACATTTGCCACTATGCCAAGCTGTATTTTTACTCTTCTCTAGAACCTTGAATACATGTGCTACTAAAATTAATGCTTTAAATGATTCATATTTTATTTTATGTTTCCCTTCATATTTCTCTAGAGTAAAACCTTCTCATTTACATCAGTTTTTGGTAGGTGTACTAATAATGTACTTCTTCTTATCTATCAGTGATAAATATAGGTTGATAATCCTTCATAGCCCAAATTAGTTTTGCCCTGAATATAGCAAGTTTTGACCCTGCAGAAGTGTCCATGTTGTGCTGCTAATAAGAGGGCATATGTCTCCAGACATAGGACTTCTACAGAGTCTCGGTGATGTATAAATGGTATCACAATCAATTGTATGCAGGAAGTCTTAGTAAGCTTCCTGCCCTTCAACATTTATGGAAATAGGCCATGAAGCATTTGAATAATCTCTCTCTCTGTCTCTGTCTCTGTCTCTGTCTCTCTATCTATCTCTATCTATCTCTATCTTTATCTCTAACTCTAATTCTATCTATCCTTGTCAGCTATTATATCATAGAATGGGAATGTAGACTAAAGTTTCTCCTTATGCCCTAACCTGCCACAAAGTGTCAAGTTTCTCCCTCGTCATTTCCGGGATCCATCCTTAATTGCACTTCTTATCCTAGCCCTGCTCGTGCTACCTTGGAGCCCCAGCAAGATGTGCAGCCAATCACACAGGAGGCTGAGCCAGTTCTGCGGTGGCCGGGGAAGGCTGCAGCTGCCTCCTGTCTGTGGGAAGAGATGAGGAAGAAGTTCTTGAGGGGGAAACCGAAAGTCCTTGGGGTGAGTCATCTGTGGATCAGGGAGAAGCGCACAGGGGAAGTGAATTCACACCTGATCCACCTTGCGACCAACACTCTGTGCCACTGGCCTCAGAACCCAGCCTAGAGTCACCAGTGTTTGATTACCGGGACCCATCATTTGGAGAATGGTATCATTATAATCCCGCATCCTGCCTTCCTGTTTAACTACTGTTAACATACAGTGGCTCCAGATCCTTTCTAGATCATGAGTCACCCTCGCTTGGGAAGAACAGCAGAAGAAATGGCTCCATGTGCCCTGGGTGGGGACCCCAGCCATGCCTGGCTTTGGCCCAGAGCTGAGTTATTCCTGTATTTCTCTGGTACCTTTGCTTAGCTTGCTCCTCAGAAGATAAAAAAACTTCTACTCTAAACCCTTCCACTTGGAATCTCAGGTCAATGTGCTTAAAAGAAATGGAGAGTTTAAACAATGACATATTAGGGCAGGTGAAAGGACGCTGAACATCTGTCCCCAGATTCAGACTAATGGGGGACAGATGTCAGCATGGACATTTGCATCCTTTTGTTTCCCTCTATTCTACTTCTTGGCTTGAAGTTGCAATTGTCTTGCCTCAGCCTCCCTTAGTCCTGAGATTACAGGCTTGCACAACCACACCTTGCTCAGATTTTTAAATAGACTTTTCTTAGAGCAATTTGAAATTCACACCATAACTGAAGAGGAGATACACTGCACACACATGTCTCTTTCCCAGGACCCACCTCTGCCCCGCAGGGTGCTAAATCTACTACAACTACCTACACTGATGAACCTACACTGGCATATCATTGCGGCCAGAATGTCATACTAGAGCTGCAGGTGTAATTCGGTGGGAAAATGCTCACTTAGCTTGTGTGAGGCCTTGGGTTCAATCCTCAGAAGCACACAAAGTACATACTTGTATTAGGGTTTGCTGTATTGTACACTCGATGGGTCTTTATTTTTTTTTTTTTTTTGAAAAAGAATATAATTCTGCCTACGTACTAATAACCTCACCAGACTAAAAAAGAAGATAGACAAGGTCTCGACAAAGATATAATAGCATGTGTTCGCTACTGCAATGTTATACAAAGTAGTCCCACTGTCCTAGACACCTCGGTACTCTACCTATTTTTCCTTTCCATCCCCCAAGCCCTAGCAACCACTGATCTTTTATCGTTCCCAAAATTTACCTTTTCCAAAAGAAATCATACAGCTGAAATTACACAAGAACCGTGCAACTTTTTGGTTTTCATGACTTTTGACATTTCTGTAGTGAACCTCCCTCTCATTTCAGATATCAGTAGTTTGTGTCTTCTGTCTACATTTTTTTCTTAGTTTGCCTGACCGGAAGCTCATTGGTTTCATTTACCTTTTAAAGGAGAGCTGTTGATTCTATTGATTTTGTATGATTCCCTGTCTTTATTTCACAGACTTCCCATCTAAGCTCTCTTTTTCTTTGCTTACCTCGGATTGAAGTTGCCATTCTCTGTACAGCATGCTGAGGTGGAAGCACCTGTGACCCACTTGAGATTGTTCCTCTTCTCTGACATGTGCACTCCATGCTACACACATTCCCCCAAGCATTGCTTTCGCCGCATCTCAGAAAACCTTCTAAATTGTTTCGTGTTATTTTCTGTGAATCCTTTTCATCACTGTAAGATTACTTTTTCCTCACCCCTCTCCTTTTGGACACCTGTACACACAGTCATGTTCACAAGCTCCAGAGTCCCCGGAAGATTATGTTCTCTCATTTCCTTTCCTCTGCACAGACTGTTTTTATCAGATTATGTCTCCTTGCTTGAATAAATGCTTCCTAAGTCCTGGACCTCTGGTCCCTGAGAATGTGGCAAGGGAGAGAAACAGCTGTGGTTGAAGCAGCCGCGTGGGTACCAAAAATGCAGCTCTGAGCAGGTTTCAGCAAACTCTGTCACACCACGAAGCCACAGAGGCAATGACTGATTATCAGAGGATGCTTCCCGGGAGTTAGTAGGTACACAGTCCTTTCCGTGAAGAAAGTGACAAGAAAATATTGTGATATACTGCTAATATCAAAAGATGGGGTGCCCGGGTGCCTTAGTTGCTGGAAATAAAAGGCTGCCTAGGTATCATTACGTGGTGGATAATGGCCATGTACTTTCTCCATCATTTCCAGAGTGTGCAGATTGTGATCGCCCTGATGAACTTCAGCTTCGGAATGATAATGAGCGCGTTGGTGCCATCTTTCTCTCCGCACCCCATTGTATTTAACATGGTCTACTCGCTCTGGGGGCCCATGGCGGTGAGTACAGCACCCTCGCAGATGCCCGGCGGTAACGTCCACGTTAACATCCTGACATCTGGAATCTCGTCTCGATGCTATCTTGTGTTTCCGCTATTGATCTGAAATAATCAAGATCCAGCCCGGTGGCTTGGAAGCAGTCACGTTTCTTAAAAGACCATGAGAAGCTGAGCAAATGAGGGACTCTCATAAAAATAAAAAAAAAGAAGAGGAGACTTGGCTGATATCCGGGTCATTTATAACCCCTGACCCATCAAATCTTAGCCAATAGTTACCTTAAAAGATGGAAAAGCTATTAGATAAAGTTTGACTCCCAAGTTTAATGCCTGTAATACAATTAAATTAAGACCAGAATCTGAAAAACAACTTTTAAAATCTTTCCTTCAGATAAAACATGAAATTTTTCCTAAAATTTGGGAATGTGAGTTGGGTCTTAAGCATCATATTTTACATCCTCAAGAAAGAAAAGTGAAATGTATAAACTGGGTTTGTGTCAGAATTTGTGAAACTGTCCGAGTGTTGTGGGGCTTCCACTTGTCTAAAACGATGGACTGGGGAGAGGACTGGGCCGCAGCCTCGAGTTTGCTCCTCCTCCTATCTAAGCAGAAGTGCGGACTGCAAGACAGGGAGTGCTCATCTACTTCTGGGACACTGAACACACTTTAACTATCAAACATGACTAATGCCAATAATAACTTTTGTTAAACCCTGTGATCTGGGCAATCCACTGCGTTGTATACATGCCCTTCCCTTTTAAACCACCACCAGAGACTCCTGAAGGAGGAGTTATCCTTGTCCTCATTTTATGGATGAAGCAAGTGGAACTTAGATTAAATAACTTCCCCGGGATCACACACTTCCCCAAGTTCCTGTACTAGATGGTACAGCGACCAGTGCTCACAGAGCATCAGTGCAATTCAAGAACACCGTATATCTATGCACTCTAGTTATCTGATTCCTGCTTCAGGTCCTTTCCAAGCCCACTGTGTCCACCAGTTCATGCAACTCAAGCATTCCTTGTGGTGAAGAAGATGCAGGAGCTGTCTGTCAGCTGAGGTACCCCCTGTGTGTCCCCCTAGAAGAGCCCTTGCTTAAGCAGGGGACTGTCTTTTGTTGCCACCTTCCATATTCTTTTAGTTTTATTTTCAACCTCACCAGTGAGGTACCTCCTCTTTCTCCTTTATAGTGGAGGAGTACCAATGTCCCTAACAATTGTAAACTCTCTTACTTTAGGCTTCTTTAGTACAGCTATGTATTACTTAACGGAATCTCACAAAAAGTATCTCCACCTGAGTCTGTTTGTTCAAATTTCACCTTGCACACTTTTAGAACATTGTAAAGTTTTATTCACATGTATTTCATGTAATATAATAAGTGATTGTGCAATTTCTTTGACTACAAGTGAGCAGGTCTACATGAATTATTTCTATCCTCACATTGCAAATGTGTTGAGGTTGAACAAACTATTTTATCAAATCTATCAACTTTTGTGTTATTATGAAATCTTTGAGATTTCTAAAGGAAAATTTGGGAACAAACCACCCTCCTGAAATACAAAAGTTGAATAGTTTAAAATGAAAAGTCAACATGAGTTGTCTCTAGCCATTTTACCTAAATGAAAAATAATTGCTCAATTAATGAAATCAAATATATTAGTATATTCTAGTGATCATCCAATAAGGACTTTAAAATTCTTCTGTGAAACTATTTTATTTACAACCTATTCAAAGTATTATAGTTTACAGTTTCTTTTTTGTTTGTAATACTGTACTAATTTTCTATCATATTAACATTAGTGTATATCCGGAATTTCATTTATCTGTCAATGCTCACAGTTTTGGTATCGTTATAATTAGGTCTTTTTTAAAAATCTGGATAGCTGGGCATGGTGGCACACGCCTATAATCCCAGCATTCAGGAGGCTGAGGCAGAAGGATCGCTGTGAGTTCGAGACCACTCTGGGCTAAAAAGTGAGCAGAAGGCAAGCCTGAACTGCATAGCAAGACCCTGTCTTTTAAAAATTAAAAAATAAACAAAAACATAAAAAATAAATAAAATCTTGATAAATTGGCTCAGAAATCTATCAAGTTGAATTCCTCTATTCTTTCTGTGAAAAGTAACAATTATGTGTGAATTTAATGCTTCTAAGATAATTCATTTGTTTTACTACCTGTCTCATTTATGAATCAGTTTCAATTATGATTTCATGAATTTATTTGAAGCTTACATGTACTTTCTCTGCTATTCCTAGTTTATTATCTCAGGATCCATGTCAATAGCAGCAGGAACTAGAACTGCAAGAGGTCTGGTGAGCAATATTTCCTCTTAATCATTTTCTCTTTTTCTACCTAGAGAGACTGGATAGATAACATATGTATACTTCTGTGGTAGAAATGAATTTCTTAGTTAACATTGTTTTATCTTTTAAAACTATTTTTAAATTTAAAGGTAGATACATTTAAGATGTGTACACATATACAAACAAACAAACAAACATAATGAACTGATTACCACAACCTGTGTTTGGCTTATTTAACTCTGATAATGACCTCCAGGTTCATTAATGTGGTTGTACATGGAAGGATTGTCTTCATTTTTAAACCCAAAACTGCATTGTATCTATACACACATAGTGTGATATCTGGAGATATCTACGTATAGATACACTGTTATCACACTTCGTGTTTCATAGATGAAATGACAGGTTTCCCCCTATCTTGGCAATCATGTATAATTTTCAATGAACAGAGATGTACAGATATCTGTACAAGGTGCTGTTTTCATTTCATTTGAATATATGCCCAGAGGAGAGATTTGCTGGGTCATGTGAGTGTTCTGTTTTTAATTTTTTAGGATCTAGCATAGTTTTCCACATACCTATATCAATACATTCCCACTAACACTGTGTAAGACTTTTTTACATCCTCACCATCACTATTTCTAATGTGTTCGTTTCTTTTTTATAATAGCTATCCCAAAATGTAAGAGGTAACATAAAATTGTGGTTTTCATTTTCATTTAACTCACAATTAGTTATGTCAGTCACATTTTCATGTAACTGCTGTCCACTTAAATATCTTCCTCAAAAATGGCTATTCAGGTACTTTACTTATTTAAAACCTAAATTATTTACATTTGCTGTTGATTTATATGTTTCTTATAAATTTTGCAAATGGCCCTCTTGTCATATAAATGCTTTAGACATTGAATTTATATTGATAATGTACTAGAGATCAAAACAGGTCAATTAAGTAAGAATAGAAAAGAGAAAAGAATAGAAAGCAAAAGATGAAATTTTATTTATTTACAGGTGACACAGTTATGTTCACAGGACATTTAAAATAATCTATGGCAAAGCACTGAGAATTTAAAATGAGCTATACCCATTTTCTACATGTATGTTCACTATACAAAAATCATCTGTGCACAACTGAAATTTATAATGATAAAATTTGTAATAATAACAATATAACCTAGTAACTAGTATTCAATACATGTTTTTAAAAAGCAGTTCAAAATTTCTATGCAGGAACTCTGCAAAATAAATGGAAAAAAAAAACTAGGTAAATGAAAAAGAAACTCAATATTAGAAAGATGCCCTTCTTTACCAATTAGCTTAGAGATTGAAAACATCCACAATTATTCACTGATAATTCATCTTAAGAAAATACTTGCTTGCTTCCACTTTATATAAAAATCCAATAATAATAATAGCTAAGAATCTTGCATCAATACAGAGTTATTAAGATCTAAAACCACAAAACTTGTCAAAGACTAAAAAATAGCTGCTGAAAGTGGATTTGACAAGGATTATGTGGTTATGTCCCCAAATTTTGGTTATGACCCAAAAAGTACAAGCACCAAAAGCAAGGCTAAATGGTTGGGGCTACACCAAACTAAAACTCTCTACAGAACAAAGGAGCAATCAATAGAACAAAAAAGCAACCGCAGGATTCAGAGAAAATATGTACAAACCAGATTTTGTTTGTTTTTTAAAAATTACTTGAGAGTGTGAGTTTTGCTGAGTTGGAGCTATCTTTCAGCTCTTTTAATCAAATAATTGGCTGGTAACAGAATTTCTAGTGTAAGACTGAGTATTTTGGCAAGGTAGTTGCTGATGCAATCTTCCTGAAGACACAGAAAATCCCTGAGGGGAAATGTCAAGCAGCTTCATTCAAGCAAAACTTGAAACTTGAGACCTCGCTCAAGTATTGGTGCCAAGTATTGATGTGGCCTTATAGTTAATGAATTGATATTTGCAATTCAGTGACACCTAGAAAGTATATTCAGTTTGGAATTAAAGGAAGTCATAGTGAAATTGTTATATAAGAAGAAGAAAATTCAAATATAGCTGCTATGCCAATGTATCAAACACAATGGGAGGCCACAGACCAGATCTCAACCAATATTTTTCTTGCCTAAAGGCCATAGTTGACTTCATTGTCCAAGGATAAAATCAAACTCTGGAGGATGATCAATATGGTTTTTAAAAATTTGTTCTTGACCTGCCTCCATAGGGTCTTCTTCACCAGAAACCTAGAGAAGGTAGTCAGTGCTATAGCCACTAAACTTCTCAAGCTTTCCACAGCAATTTTAGTTCTGGCAAATTGTCTCCATTGTTTTACCATGAAAAAAATGTGCAGAGAGAGTTAAATCAGAGACAAAAGTATGCAAAAGACATTGAGATGTGACAAATGAGCGGCATTCAGAAAACTACTAGAGGCCAGGCACCCCAAGAGAAAAAGCTCGGAGACAGATACAGACAGGGTTAGCCAGCACCAGTGGAAAGGGCTCAGAAATCACTGCTGGGAGACTGAGAGTTTGCCTTCTATCCCCACAGGACTCATGTGAAGACTGTAGCATGGGAAAAACAAGATCATACCTGTGTTTTGATGAGAAATTAGCATTGAAACTAATTTAAAGAAAGAGGTGTTACAGTAATGACTACTATTTTAGACATTATATACACAGATATAATGCACCATAATGACTACAGTAGTAAACAAAATGGAGAGAATATAAGGTGTTGAGAAAGAACAGGAAGGTGGAAAACGATTGAGATGGAGTGCAAAATATTTTGAATTGCTTGACTGATTGTTATTCCTTTCTAGGTCAACAGCAGCCTAGGATTGAACATCACCAGCTCTGTGCTGGCTGCTGCGGGGATCGTAATCAGTGCCGTCAGCATCACTTTTCTGTCATTTGAATATCGCCTGTGCAACCGCGACCAGACTGAAGATAACTGTTCCCTAGTCATGCCCATTTTACTAGTGAGTTCTTCCTCTTTTTTTTTTATTTTAAAGAATAAAAGAAGGATAACATAATAAT